GCTGTGTTTCAGAGCCAGCCCGAGGTCAGGCAGGTTCCCCCCCTCCAGGGAAAGGTCTTCTCCTCACGGAGAAGCTTCAGAAAGCGAAGTTTACAAGGAAAAGGCAGAGTTTCATCCCCCTGGAGCCTCCAGCCTTCCCTCCCCGGTGCCTGCCTTTCCACCCAGGGCCATCCCAGCTACTCACCCCCGTTGTCCGTGCGTTTCAGGGCTCCATCTTTGTGGGGACACAGCTCACACCTCTTGAAACGAAGCAGAAACAACAGATTAACCCAAGCTCTGAGGGGCAGAGGGGGGCAGAAAAGAGATGATTCACTCCCAGCCCGCTCGGGAACGACGGGGCCGCTTTCAAAGAGGGGAAGTGGAGAGAAGGGCTGAGCGTGGTTTGGGTGCAAAGAGGTGCCCTGACACAGCTCAATATCGCCCTGACTGAGGTATTTAAAGCCTCAGCCCAGGCCCAAAGTGAACCTTGACTCCACGGGGGCTTTTTTAGAACGAGCTTGAGGCTCTGCGGTCGGGGAGCAAAACTGAAAGTCGTGACTCAGAGAGCAGAAGGCAAATAAAAAGAAGCCACCATCTATCTTTGCCTCTTTCCTTCCTTCCTCCTCTCCTTTTCTCTGGTGGTGGTTTTTTTCCAGTCCCATGACAGGTGGGTGAGGCCATCATGGCATTTTTGAAGGACTGGGGGGAGGGTACCCTGTGACACCCCCCCCCCAAAACCCCAAAAGGCTGAGGTGTGGAGGGGAGGGCGTGAGGGTAATTTTGGGGTGTTTTTTTCACACTTGGCAGCCCTGAGAGCTCCTCCCAGGCTGAGCTGCCTCCAAAAACTGTCTTCTCACAGCATCACTCAGGGAAAATCTCCACGTGCTTTCTGCCTTCTTTGACTTTAAGAAAGGCCCAAAAACCTGCGGGGTTTAAACCTCTCCCTTCCCCGACAGAAAGGTCTGACTCGCTGAAACACCAAAGCAAAACAAAAACTGCTTTTCTGTGAAAAACGTGCTTCCTCAGAAAGTTTTGAAATGAGGTGTCTGGTGTCAAGAGTGAGATGCTGGACCTGGTGCTCTCTGCTGTCGTTGCTTTGGTGCAGTGAGTGTGACAGGGCAGGGGATCCACGGGCCAAACCCCACCAGTTTACTGGGCAACAACTGGTCGTGGAATCCTGGGGTGGTTTGGGCTGGAAGGGACCTTAAAGCCCATCCAGTGCCACCCCCTGCCATGGGCAGGGACACCTTCCACTAGCCCAGGATGCTCCAAGCCCCGTCCAACCTGGCCTTGGACACTTCCAGGGATGTGCAAGTGTTAAATAAGTGACAAGGGGACAAAATCCATCTCCCTTTCCCTGCAACTCAGCGAGTTTAGGACGGAGAGAGATGGCAGGAGATGTTTCTCGCCGCTCCTGGTTAGGTCCGGGCTCCCACAATTACTATGGAAAGCCCGGCAGAGCCGAGAGAGAACAAGAAGGGAGTTAACCCAGACACTGTAATAAGAAATTTGCACTTGAAAAGGCCCCTCCGCTCTCCCTCCGCCCTCAGATCAAAGCCGCTCTCCCACCACGCGATTAGCGCAGCTCTGATTGTAACAAGAGGGGTTAACAGCTCCATCGGCCCCACACAGGACTTTTAATAGCCCTGCCTCGAAATGACAGCTAAAGCCTTCACATGATCCTCACACGAGAGCCCTCCGGCCATCCCGGCTCCCGGGGCTTCCCAGGCGATTGGATTACAAAGTGGATGGGCTTTCCAGCCCTTCCCAGCAGCCACAGCATCCTTTAGGGACGCGGGGAGGGGGCAGGAGCAGGGATTAGGGCACCTCTGCCTCTTATCCCACCTGCACGGGCACGGGGGGTTTATTTCAGCTCTCTTGGAAGGGGAGAAAAAAGCGGGGCTTGGTTGATTTAAAGCAGGTTGAGATGGGGAAGGTTAAAGCTCCTGATCCCCCCGGGGCTTGTCTGGGATCTACCAAGTGAAAGCCCTGCCTGGAAGTTTAGGGCTCCTGAGGTCTCTTCCCACGGCTAAAAAGGGGATGGAGCCCATCTTTTGAACGGAATATGAATGAGACACAGAAATGAACGGTGCAGAAATCAAAACTATGTTTTAAAGCACACACTAAGCACTGCAACAGCCTCCCTGCCTCCGTATCTCATTCTGAAAGCAAAACTATCAATATTTAGCCAAGGAAATTACCATTTGTTATGGCCAGAGCCCGTGAGCTGCCTTAAGAACCTTCTATGAAGGCAGATGTGGGAAGAAAAACACTGTTGTTTTTCACAGGAGTCGGCCACACAGTCATTATGAAAGAAATACAAACATCAGCTCATCCTGCTGCTGGTTTTGTGTGGTTTGTGCTCAAAGAGCAGCGTCTCTGCCTCAGAGTCCTCAGGGCAGTGTCTGCAGGCCCAGAGTGGCTTTGGAGAGCTGGAGGAAACCGGGCAGGGAGGAGCAGGGAAACCCCAGGGCAGGGGAAGGGTCACCCCCTACACAGAGCCCAAACCAGACGTGTTTTAGAATCACAGAGTGGTTCAGGTTGAGGGACTTTAAAGCCCACCCAGTGCCACCCCCTGCCATGGGCAGGGACACCTTCCACTCTCCCAGGTTGCTCCAAGCCCTGTCCAACCTGGCCTTGGACACTTCCAGGGATCCAGGGGCAGTCCCAGCTTCTCTGGGCAACCTGTGCCAGGGCCTCACCTGGCTCCCAGGGAGGAATTTCTTCCATATATCTCACCTAAACTTCCCCTCTTTCAGTTTGATCCCACTCCCCCTTGTCCTGTCACTCCAGTCCCTCTCTGGTTTCCTTCTCCAGGTGCTTCCTCAGACACTTCACTGTTCAGATTCCCTTTGGATCCTTTGGAAGGTGCTGTGAGGCCTCCACACAACCTCCTCTTCCCAGGGCTGGACAGCCCCAACTTTCCCAGCCCCAGAGCTCCTGTTTCCAGCAGCAGAGCCACTCACAGACCTCACACAACCCGAGTCATTCCCCTCACGCTGCTCCTACATCAAAGAGCCCGGTTCTTTTTAAGTGTTTCCCCATCTGCATGTCTGTTGCTATGACTGCTGGTGCTGAGCTGAAAAGGTGAGGGATTTAGATAGGAAACCACCCCCCCAGCCCTGCCCGGGGAGGAAGATTAGCCCTGCTCAGTTCTTAGAGGCACAGGGCTGAACACCACGGGGCTGAAGGGCAGCTCTGACACCCACCCAGATTTAACACCCACCCAACAGATTTAACCCACCCAGGGGGGGGTTAAAATCAGGAGCCACCCGCAGGGATGGTGTTTTCCTGACGCCTTGGAGGCAGTTTGAGGTGCATAAAGTTACCAGGAGATAAAAAAGAAGTCACAAGGAGCGCAGGTGAGGAGGACTCAAGGAGGACTCGTGTGTCCAAGGACTTTACACCGAGTTGGAAAGCTGAAGAGCTTCCCTGTGCACGGGGCAAGGAGGCCCACGAGACCCAAATTCCTGCCATGGAAGTACCTGCAGGATGTAAAAGCACTCACAGACACATTTAACCTTTACTGCAGAGCACATAAAAGCAGCAGCTCCCGGCGGGCAAAGGGCCCGGCCCTGCCCGCAGCCAGGAAGGGGTTAATGCCGTGTGGGAAGCGTGGCTGTGGATCCCTAATTCCCCCATCCACTCATCCCTGCCAAGTTCTTCGCCCATCTGTGAACCAGATTAAACTTTTGGAGTGCAGCAGGCAGAGCCCAGCTGGGCTGGAGCGGGCTGGGAGCTCCGGCTCAGGCGGATCCGGGGATCCGGAGAGGGATCCCGAGGTCACCCCCGTCCCCTTCCCGGGTGTGCACCCCAAACTCAGCTCAACCAGCTCAGCACTGCCATCAGCAAACCCTGCTTGTGCTGACTGTGCTGAAGGGAAGCCAAAGTTTAATTCAAACCCACCTTCCGGGAGGCGAAGGGGAGAAGCTCTCCCAGATTTATCCCACATTTTGGTGGCTGGAAGTGTTCAAGGCCGGCTTGGACGGGGCTCGGAGCAACCCGGGGCAGTGAGTGGCATCCCTGCCTCTGGGTGAGCTTGAAGGTCCCCTCCAAGCCACCCCCTCCCATGGTTTAGGGCAGGAAAAGCAGCATCCCTGGCACGAGTGCCCCGTTCCAGAGCCTCAGCAGCTGGTTGGTGCCGCTGAATCTGATAAGGGCTCACGTGGGGAGCTCTGGCAGAGAAGCTGCTGTGCCATAAACCCCCCAGCCTTGTTTACTGCACAAATAACTTGGCCACACAGCCCAGGCCTGGCCTGATTGCTCCCACCCTCCTGCCTCACCGGGAAATGCCGGAATTAATGAGGAACATTTGGAAAGGGCTCTTTGCTCTTAAACTGCTACCGAGACAGAAACAGCCCCTCTTCCTGTCCTCTTTCTCTCTGCTGTTTTACAGCTCGGGAGACTTTCTGTGCTGCAGGGGGATGATCATCACCTGCTGATGACCCCAAAGAGCACTGGAGGGGCTTTAAGGTGCCCTCCAACCCAAACCACCCCATGGTTCTGTGAGTGAGGTGTGAAAGCCAACCCAGCACACCATCTCAGGTGATGCCAACTTCCCTCCTCTCCCAAAACTTCCCGAGGAGCTGAGCAGAAGAAAAGCCCCTTTGAGAAGAATGCCATGAGTTTTTTTTTGGAAGATTGAGGTCTCCAGGCTCGACTGAACTCACCACCCGGGCGGCTCTTTCCTGGGATTCACATTTCCGACAGAACCAGGGGCCGGTGGGGACCTGGACAATTCCATAACAAGCTGGGGGAAAAAAGGGCAAAAAAAAAGACTTCATTAGACCATCTTTAAATCGACTGCTTCATTTCTTGGGTGTGTATAAAAGTTTGCAGGGCTTGGAGCAACCTCCTCCAGTGGAAGGTGGCCTGTTCATGGTGGAACTGGACGAGCTTTAAGGTCCCTTCCAACCCAAACCATTCCATGATTCCGGGTCTGTGAGAGCTGTTACTGCTCAGAGACAGGTGACAAAATCAAAAATTACGTGTGCAACACATATTTTACTCCCATTTCCAGTTTCCAGCTCCATTCAGCTTTTTTCCAAGAGGTCCAGCGTGATACATTCATTCAAGTTTTCAGATCAGCCCATGGTCCAGTATGAAAAGCTCCCATGAAAATCCGGCCTAGATGGGACTGGAGCAAATCAGAAACTGTGCTTAATTCTGGCCCAGGGAACACAAATGTAATTTTTTTACTTTTTATCTTTTCAAGTGCCATTTCCAGTGATCCAAGCATTAAACTGGTGACATGGATGACAGGAAGCACCTAAAGCACAACCAGGACTAAGATAAAAATCTCAGCGTCACGAGGGGAATCATCCCAGTGGGAATTCAGAGGGACACCAACCGGAATTCCCTGCACACCCTCCACCTGCACATCACCTCCAGCAGCTTCCAGGACCAGGGAATTCCCAGAATCATGGAATAACCTGAGCTGGAAAGGACCCACAAGGAGCATCAAGTCCAGCTTCAGGTTTCCTACAACTCCTGCTGGGAACAGGTTCTGTGTGAACACAACTCTCCAGCCGACATCCCAACAGGACTGCTGGGTTTATCCAGCCTTATCCAGCCCCTCTGGCTTCCTACATCACCCCTGGTGCTCTCAGGGTCCCTCTCTGCAGCTTTAAAACCAGCTCCCATCTCTGCTGCTTGAAGGCTTTCCACCTTCTTTGGTGATATTCCCCCTCCAAGCATCCAAGAATGGTCGTTGTGAGTCCCAAAAGAAGCGTTTCTGACCCTAAAAGGGCTTTTGGCCACCACACAGGTGGGTTTAAAGCCACAGAGGCAGTGTAAGGATCGAAGCTGTGCCTCTCAGGGGAGGGTTTGGGAGTCTCCCAGGGAGGGAGGGACAAATTATCCCTCCTTTATTCCACCTCCAAGCAAAGAACAAATCGCCCCTTCCTTGTTCCTCCAAGCACAAGCTGGTGGTTGGAAGGGAATCCCAGTCCTTCCAGACACTTCAGACTGGGTTGGGCAAAGCATCTGCAACTCCCCTGCTGGAGGCAGTGCCGGGATGATCCCCAGGGGCAGCCCCAGCCCCGACCCCCAGCACGTTCCCTCCACCTCCCTAATGTCCATTATCCCACATCAGCCCCGGGAAAACAAATGGAATCGTGGAGTTAAATGGAAGGAGCTGCCAAGGGCCAGGGAGATGGAAAGGACGTGAAAGCCCTGCCAGAGGAGCCTGCTTGGGTCCATCTTTAGCAGTGGCTCAGGGCCAAAAAACAAGCACTCAGCTGGAGCCAGCACGAGCTTCTGTGCCCGCTGCTTCAAAGGGGGAGAAAACAAGGAAGAAAACAAGGGGGAAAAAATGCAGAACATGAGCTGAAAAATACGATTTGTAAGTGTTCTTAACCGTCCTGTTAGAGTCTCCATTTCCCATCAGATGGTTTTGTTCATGTTCTGCAAGTTCTGCCTTTTTTTTTTTTTTTTTTTTTTTACTGGAAAGATTCTGCTTCGAAGAGGAAGAAAACAAGGGGGGGGAAAATGCAGAACACGAGTCGAAAATGCAATTTAAAAATGTTTCTCACTACCTTATTCAAATCTCCATTTCCCATCTTCACATCTCGAGTTTTTTCCCTGGAAAGATCTTTAAGCACCAGCACAGAAACGGGGCTGATACCTTTAAGAACCTAAGCCCTAATATGTAGCTACAGGGGTTTTTTTTAAAAAAAAAAACTACAGGGTTCTTTCTTGAGCTGCACAATCATTTCAAAAGGCAACTCTGGTTTTTGTGGATATTCAGGCAGCACAAAGAGACACCAAACCCGTGTGTGATGGCACGGAATGACACCACACGAGCCAGAGGATTCCTTGCAGTGGTTTGTTTCTGTTTAAGAAATAAAAGCCTACCAAAAAAAACACCACACCACTGCCAGGGGCTGAGCAGGCTCAGAAAGAGGGTTGAGAACATCCATCACACGCTGCTCCACTCTTATGAATTATTACATCCTGAAAGACTCTTACCAGACCTAAATAGACTGTTGTGCTTCCTACACGCACAAACTCAGCACAAACTGTGCACTGACTACACAAAACAGTCTCTCTGAGACTGTTCCTGCCCCTCTGAAACTCTTCTTGGGTATTTCCAACTCTTCCTGCTCCTCTGAAACTCTTCTTGGATATTTCCAACTCTTCCCATTCCCCTAAAACTGTTCTTGGATATTTCTAATTCTTCCTGCTCCCCTGAAACTCTTCTTGGATATTAAAAACTCTTCCTGCCCCTCTGAAACTCTTCTTGGGTATTTCCAACTCTTCCTGCTCCTCTGAAACTCTTCTTGGATATTTAAAACTGTTCCTGCTCCCCTGAAACTGTTCTTGGATATTTCCAACTCTTCCC